ATCTTCCACAAAGACTCGAGGAGGGAAGCCTCGTCCCCCCCAGGATGCATAGCTTGGGAGCTGCCCCAACCCCCACAGGCTGCTATAAGCAACTGTCACTGGAGAGAGGTTTCGTGTCATCAGTTACTATGTGGGGATATGAAACAGCAAGCACGAGCCCATCAGGAAATTTGGGTTCCACATCAGACCTAAGACTGGGAAGCTCACAAAATGTACTTACATAAGAAGGGCCATTGAAAGTTCTCAAACTAGAGCTGGCCCCATTGCCTAGTGGCTAAGGGACCCAGATCCCACATGGCAGACTATGGTTTGAATCTCAGACCCAGCAGCTAGAAAAACACACCAGGTGTGTGTGTGTGTGTGTGTGTGTGTGTGTGTGTGTGTGTGCCTCAAATACTGAGAATGAAGAAATGGAGAAGGGATTGTAGTATGACCATACCCTATTCAGAGGTACTTTCTTACTCTTACTCACTCTCTCTCTCTCTCTCTCTCTCTCTCTCTCTCATCTCTCTTGTGAGCACATGGAGCCTCTGGCAACTAAAAAGCAAATTACCAAATTAAGTATTTAAAACTTTCACAACCTGCCTTGAGTGACAAGATCTTATTGTAGCCCTCTCAGGACATGTCAGAGGTATATGTGTGCATTTGAGATGTTCTTGGGAAAATAAGCCTTTTTTCCACTCAATCAACACATACACGTGGGTTTCCTGTGGCTGCTGTAACAAAAGTTCCATCAACTGGGCGTTTAAAGCAACGGACCTGTATCTCTCACTGCCCTGCAGACTGCAAGTGCAAGTCAAGGTGGCAGTGGTCCGATTGTTCTGGTCCTTTGGTTACAGCTCTCTCTCGAGGCTCCAGGGAGGATTCTGGCCATGCCTTTCCCAATTTCTGGCATCGCAGGCAGTCCCTGGTATTCCGTGGCTTATAGACACGTGGCTCCAATCTCTACCTCCACTGTCATCTCTCTGCGTGTCCGTCTCTGTCTCTTCTCCTCTTCTCATAAAGACATCATTTACACAGGACGAAGGGTCTGCCCTGCTCAGTGTAACCTCACCCTAACTGACGACATCTGGTTACATCTGTTGAGCCTATTTCCAATAAGGTCACATTCTGAAATTCTGGAAAAGACATGATTTGGGGGGGGGGCATTATTTTAAGATTTTTTTGTTTGTTTGTTTTTGGGGTTTTGTTTTACCGAAGGGTGCATGTGCTCACCAGAAAGAAACAGAGACAGAGAGCTGAAGAGAGAGAAAGCAACTCCCCTATGGGGTGAGGTGACATTGTAATTCCTTCTCCTCCATTTTTCCATCCTGTTTGGATTTGGGGCACACACACACTCACGCCCAGCTGTTTTTCAAACACCAAGCCAGGACTCAAATAACAGTCATCCGTGTAGGACCCAGTGCCCTTAATCACCAAGCCCAGGACAGCCCCGGGGGATACCATTTAAACCCCCAAACTGGTACAGGAAAAATATCCTCCCTAAAATATGTACATCACTCATATATGACCTGCGTAGAAACAGTCGAGAGCACGCCATCACAGCCCGCATCCTGAGCTTCCGGGCTACGCTTGATGACCTGAGCCTTCGGCCAGCAGAAGAGGGTTTCCTGATCAGATTTATATAACCTGAATATCAGTTTGGCCAATATATATATATATATGTATTCTGCACCCAGCTTTGTAGCCTAACTTCATACCTAATATGCCCCATAGATCATTTTCTTTCTCTAGTCATGAGTTATTATGTAAGGGTAAAAAAATCTAGAACTCACAAGTTCACAAAATGTAGTTATATAGGAAGGCTCATTAGAAGTTGTAAAAGGGTCTTTAACAGAATGGTCTCCAAAGTGAATCACCCAAAGGACCAGAAGATTGGTTCCTTTTATTTTGGCCACACACCTGTGCTTCAGCCTCATTTTCTCTTGGGACAATATAGGCACCACCAGGGCCGATGCTAACACACCAGCCTCGCCGCCTGGGTGTGTCACTGACTCTGAAAGAGGGCGTTGCCGGGAGGCTGAGAACTGCTTCCCTCTCTTCTTCCTGTCTCCTTCTCGAGCTGCTCAGGAAGCGTCTCTCCTCTCCTTAACCTGGGAGTATGTTTGTCCATTCGCTCTCAGCAGCCATGCGTTTAAAGTTAGCCTACTCTAAGGCCTGAATGAAGAGTGTTCCGGAATAAAAAGGTCCAGGTATAGGCAAAGAAAGGACCTTGGAGAGCAGGGGTCGCCAACCTTACACGCGAGCAAGCCATCTCACTGAGTGCCTATCCTTCCCTAGGCCTGCCCCCGGATCTCTCTGTTTACCTAACAGCTTAGATAAATCAGCTGTGGAGACTGTCTGGCCCAGACAGCCTTGCCCTGCAGTGGAGAACAGGTTGTGAATAAGCACCCTCTGAGCGCATCCAAGGTGGGCGGGCAGGCCCACTGACACCCTTTCTTTCTAAGGGAGAGTAGACTTGGTGACCAGAGATTCTCGTCTCTGCTTATGGGAATATGATACTAAAAGTTATAGGTGACTTATAAAACCATCAGGGAACATCCCCTTCAGCCTGTAATTTTATTTTATTTTATTTATTTATTTGAGAGGTTTTTGCTATAGGGTGCATGCACTCGCCAGAAAGAAAGAGGGAGACAGAGAGATAGAAAGCAAGAGATCCCCCCCGGGGGGATAGCCATGCCGCGATCCCTTCTCCTACAGTCTCCTCTCAGGATTGGACACTCACCTGTGCCCGGTGTGAGTTTAAGCCACCGGGTCCAGGACTCGAACCACACTGGACTATGTGGGAGTCTAGTGACATAGCCATTACGCCAACTGCTGGTCCCTATTGTATTTATTTTTATTTGTGTTTTACTATGGGCACATGCACTCACCAGAAAGAAAGGGAGAGAGGAGGAGAGAGGAGGAAAGGGAGGAAGCGCTCCCCAAGGGAGATGGCCATGCTGCAAGCCCTTCCTCTCCATTCTGCTCTTGGGATTCGGAGCACTTAGACTCACACGCCTGAAGTGTTTTCCAAACTGTGTGTCCAGGACAGTCAGCCACGTGGGATCCAGGGCCTTAACCACCATGCCACCAGTTGGCCTTTATTTTATTTTTTAATTGTATTTATTTATTTTTTATTCCATGAGAGACAGAGAGACAGACACAGAGACGGATGTGGACAAGTCTGAGGAAGTGCTGCTCTGTCTCCCACTCCTACAACTTCAGAAATGCCATCCCTACACCCAGCTGCCTTGGCACAGGTGGTAGGCCCCTCTGCATCAGGCTAGGACCATACGGAGGACCTTGGTTCAGATCTCGGACCAACCTAAGACAGGTCGGTCACGACAGCATATGCTGTGATTCTCTTAGGTCATCGGAAAAGTCATGATGCATTTTTGCATAGAAGAGCATAGAAAAATATGTCATGACTTTTCCGACCACCCAATAGTGAACCGAGAGGCTGAGGCAGATGATCGCGATGTGACACAATGTCTTCCAAAATACCTATCTCTAGCTCTCCTTTTTTTCTCTTTCTCTCCCTCCCTTTCTCTCTCTCACATATAACAAATATTGTCCCTAAAACATCACATGATGCTTTATTCCCTTAATTCGACTCTCGGCGATGACATGAAAGTGTTCTCTCCATCCGAAGGTGAGGGCTTGTCTCTTAGACCTCAGCAAAACCCTCGTTCCTTCCAGCTTCCTCAGTCCTGCAAGAAGAGCCCTCTCCAGGCCCTTCCCGTCGCTAAGGAAGCTATGCACTTCTAGGAAGTAGAACACCGAGGTTACGGTTTCCATCCCCGAGAGGCTTAGAATATGGAACTTGCTTCTTCTAGACAGCAGGAAGTACTCACATCACATCAGTGGAGAGATTTCATGAGGAAGCGGGGCTAGTGGGGTCTGTTTCTCATTTGTCCCTGCTTCCCCGTCTGCTCTCACCACCCCCGATCACGAATCATAGAGATGTGTACTATGCAGGGGCCAGCCAGCAGCCTGCTAGTTGGGGCGTCTGGATCCCACATTGCCAACTACACAGCATCGCCATCACCTGGGGGGTTCCTGCAGACCCTCAGGGGCACAGAAAGCCGACCTTCTCCGACAGCAGTGCTCATTTCCACCAGCTGCTCTGAGCAGGCGACTCTGCCGCCACGCTGCCTGGGGTGATCATTCCAGGGCGTCAAGCTTGATGTTTGTGCTCCAGGGCCCTGGGACCTTGATTGACTTGCCAACTGGGATGAAGAATCAGCGAGTCTGGGTGAGGGGCCAGCCAGTCTGTTCTCGGCCCTTGTGATTCTGCAGCACGCTGCAGTTCGAGGTCCTCTGCTGAGGGCCCTTGGTCACTAACAGAGGCAGGGCCTGCTCAGGGAGCTCTGGGACCCAGAGCTCTGAAATGAGGGCAGTCAGGGCTGTCGACCAGAAGGAGGTGAAGCCTGGAAAAGGCCAAAGCCTAGGACAGTCATGGGCAGCGGCTTGGAGACAGCAGATGAGGAGACCCAGACAGGGCCATCCTGGCAGAATGGTTGCTATCCTACCTCCCCGACTTTTGGCATTGTGTGCAGTGAACATGTGGGTGTGGTGGGGAAGGGGCTGGAAGGAGGGCAGCTGGTTAGCAGGAAATGGTTGAAGGCCTTCTGTGTACCGGCCACCTGTGAGCATTCGACGTTTCAGCTCTTTCATCCTCACAAATACCCAGCGACCCCTGAGTGGTGGAGAACACCCTAACTCACGTAGATTCTATCCTGATGGGCAGAGGACATGATTTGGGCTTGATTCTCTGAGCCACTGCAGGTGATGATGGCCCGAGGCATTCACGAAGGGAGAACACGGATGCCAGGCCTAGTCCTGAGAAGAGGCCTAGCCTCCTGAGAAGAGGCCCGGCCTCCAGCTCTGGCTGGAGGCTGGAGTTGCTGGTGACTGGAGCCTCTGACTGTCAGGAGAAGTCACAGCGCCCAGATATAGACACAGCGAAAAGGATTGTGATTCTTGACGTTAATATCAATGTTTTGTTTGCCTTTTAGGGATGTCCAAGTCATGGGTGAGTGTCCTTCTTCCTTTCCTTCACATTTCCTCACTGGGGACATTGAAGCTGTTTCACTCAGAGGACTCACGGCTGTTCTTCAGTCCCTTCTCAAATACATCTGGCACGTCTGACACCCAGACGCCTTCTCTGCAGGAAGTGCTGGGCGCAGGCCTCTCAGATGCTTTATTTCATGCCGTCTCGGTGTGGGGCGACTACTGGAAGGGAACGAAAAGGTTTTCATTCCAGACTCTTCCTCTGGATGGTCCCTGACCCAGAACTAAGTACACACTGGCCACTTTTCAGGCCACTGGCATGAGCTTGTGAGCAGGGATTGGTGGGGGCATCTCTGATCCTGTACTGTCGTTCTCTTTTGTTTTTAATTTTATGTATTGTTATCATAATCTTTTTAATTTTTTTAATTTTATATATATATATGTTTTGAGAGGTTTTTGCTATAGGGTGTCTGCCCTCGCCAGAAAGACAGAGAGAGACAGAGAGACAGAAAGTGAGAAATCCCCCCCCAGGGGGAATGGCCACACCACAGTCCCTTCTCCATTCTCCTCTCGGGATCTTGGGCACGCACGCACACGCGCCCGGCATGAGTTTTAAGCCACCGGGTCCGGGACGCGAACCGCGGTTGACTACGTGGGAGTCCAGCGGCATAGCCCTTACGCTAACTGCCGGTCCCAATCATCTTTTTTATATTACATTGAATCACATGTATCTTTACAGTGTATTACATTCCTTTTCCCAGCACGATTCTCGTGCATATCAGGCAAGACAAAGACATTACTATCCACATCATCATCAGATAGCTCTTCATCATTTTTGTCAGATTCTCATTAATAGTATTCTTATTATTTTTTAACATATTCCATCACTATATATCATTCACTGTCGTTCTTTTCATCAGAGTTGCTTCGGATATCCGCTGAGCATCTTCTTCATCGTGGTCAACGAGTTCTGTGAGAGGTTCTCCTACTATGGGATGAGAGGTGAGTGTTGTGTGGCTTCTCACCCTTCACCAGCGAGGAAGCCCCAGTCGCGTGGCCTGTCCTAACATTCCTCTTCCTCCTCTTCCCCCTGCCCTCTGCGGGAAGCACTCCTGGTTCTGTACTTCAGAAACTTCATTGGCTGGGATGACAACCTGTCCACGGCCATCTACCACACGTTCGTGGCACTGTGCTACCTGACGCCGATTCTCGGGGCCCTCATCGCCGACTCATGGCTGGGCAAGTTCAAGTGAGTGGCTGGAGCTTGGGGCAAACAAGCCGAGGAGCAGATGACAGCATCGTGGTGGAGGTGGGGGAGAGGCAGGAGCATAACGCAGAGGGAGCCTCGCAGCTTGTTCCGCAAGAGTCTGGTCCCTAGAGCCCAGGGTGGTGCCAGCACGTGTCCTGCAAAGGCTGGGAGCGTTCCTAAGTCTTTATCTCATCTTGAAAGAGTAGCCAGGAACCTATCAGTCGTTAATGATATGGGAGCCATAGAGTTGAGGACTAAGACAAAGAACTCCTCAGTGCCCTTCTCAGTGCTGAGGGGCTCCTGCGGCTCAGAGGACAAAGATGGGAAGTGGCATGAGGTCCCAGGAGAGCATCGCCCAGCCCTGCAGAAAGAGTTCCAGGAGTGCATCTCCTGGGGAGGGAGAGCATCAGGAAACATTTCCTAGGACTTAAGGAGAAGGAAATAGAGGCTCTCCCAGGCAACGGAATGACACGAGCCGAAGAAGTCTACTCCCATCTTAAAGAGCTCTGTGAAAATTGTCAGTGGTCAGGCCAGCCCCTAGCCTAGTGGCTAAGGGAGCCAGATCCCATATGGCTGACGGCACTGGTCTGAATCTCAGCCCTGGAGGCTTGAAAACCATGCCAGGCACTTGTGGGTGCATGCCCTAAATCCCAGCAGAATGGAGAAATGGAGAAGAAAGTATTCCAGCGAGACTGTGCCCCATAGTGGTGGGGGAGTGCTTTCTCCTGCTCCCTCTCTCTCTGTTTTTCTGTTTCTGTCTCTGGTGAGCACATGTACCCTCTGGCACTCAAAAACAAAAACAAAAACAAAAACAAAAAAAGAAAAGAAAAGAAAAGAAATAACCAGTGATCCACTCCTGGCCAAATCTTGTTACTAATCACAAGATGAGTCACTTTTACTGTTTAAAGATGTATATACTAATTTCCACAACTAAGTAAAATAAAACCTAGGCCTTTCTAGTCACTGAAAAATCTAGTAGATCTTTCCCCTTCTCTTGGTCTTCTAGCCAAAACTTTGCCTGTATTTTTATGCCATGTGCCTTTCTGTGGGCTACCAGATGTACTTGAGTTTGAGAAGCAAGTATATTCACACCCAGGCTCTTGGAAGTTTTGTAGGAGGGGATATTACAGGATGAGGACAGCTATTGGCACCACTAACTTGGAGTCTCCTGACCCTCTAACACACAGGACGATCGTGTCGCTATCCATTGTCTACACAATTGGGCAAGTAGTCACGGCAATAAGCTCCATTAATGACTTGACAGACCACAACCATGACGGAACCCCTGACAACCTTCCTACACACGTGTGAGTAGATGCGAACTGCGGCCCTGCCCCCAGCCACCCACTGGTTGCTTAGTTGGTCCTTGAACTTTGCTGTGAGAATAAGGAGGTTTTGGGGATCAGCAGTTAGCGTAATGGCTATGTCACTGGACTCCCATGTAGTTGACCACGGTTCGAGTCCCAGACCCAGTGGCTTAAACTCACGCCGGGCGCGTGTGCATGCGTGCGTGCCCAAGATCCTGAGAGGAGAATGGAGGAGAAGGGATTGTGGCGTGGCCATCCCCCCTGGGGGGTGATTTCTCACTTTCTGTCTCTCTGTCTCTCTCTGTCTTTCTGTCAAGCGCATGAGCCCTATAGCAAAAACCTCTCCAAAAAAGCAACAAAAACAAAACAAATGAACAAAAAGAATAAGGAGGTTTTCTCGGCTTGTCAGCCATGTGGAGAAGGCCACTGAATGGACTGAGAGTTGGGGTGTCAGAATGTCACCACCCTAAATGGGGTCTGCAGACCTTGCTGACTTCTAGGCTCGGCTGCCTTGGGCCGTCACATCCCCCACGATGTATAGTCAGTGGTAGGGTGTTCCTGTTAGCTTTGATCCTTCCCAACTGGGTTGGGATCCTAAACACCACTGGATTTCTCAGGACTTTGCTACCTTTGATTTTCTGTCTTGGACCCATGTCTGCTTATTTTTCAGTAGTTCAGTTTCATAAATACCAGTTGTAGCCCTCTGTGCCGGGCTGTCCACGGCAGGAGTCTTTGATGAATACTCCTCTGCAGAGTCAGCTTCCCTTCGCTGTCTGCCCTAGGAGACCAGTTGTAAAGACGGAGCCTCCTGTTCTTGTGCCTCAGTTCCCGGACCTATGAGTATGCCATACTATGGGCTGGGACGGTATCACTGAAACTCAGACTGGTATCCTCAGTTCCCGCATTTTTGGTTTACGAGTTGATCAGATCATAGTCCTGGCTGGGTCCCTTCAAGTAACACCCTCGGGGCCCAGAGGAGGCCAAGTCAGTGGGGGGAAGTGGCTGTGAGCACAGACTGCTGGAATTTGACCCCATCTTTCCTGCAGAGCTGATTTCTGACCTTCGGCAAGTTTCCTTCCCCGTGCTTTAGTGTTCAATCTGTGATATCGATTAAGAATGTGGACTTTGGAGCCAGGCTGGCTTCAAATTCAAGCTGTGCTCCTTTCTCACTGTGTGATCTTGAACCCACTTCTTTCCCTCTCTGCCTCGGTTTTCTCGTTTTGTGACAGTACCTACCTCATCGGGGACTGCTGTGGGTTGGTCCAGGTCGAGCACCCAGAACACTACCTGGCAAGCAGTGGGTACTTGAGAAATCTCAGGTCCTTTCATGTTTGCTGTCACAGAGGAGGTGTTGGAACACACCTGGAATTCTCACCTGAGTGGATAGCGTAGAATATTCAGTTGCCTGTAGTTTTGTTGCTTTTTAAAATGTTTAGAGTGACAACATTAAATACAAGTTGTATTAAGAGGCAAGAATAAAGAAGTTATTTGGCCAGTGAATTCAGAGAGATTGATGCGGGAAACATAATTTTTAATGGATTCTTTCTCCATGCACTATCTCCCTTGGCTTTTTCTGTCTGATAAAATTTGTTTGGTATTTTCACTTGTTTTGTTTTTCCCATAGAGTGCGTGTGCTTGCCAGAGAGAGACAGAGAAAGAGAGAGGGAAAGTAAGAAATCACCCCCTGGGAGGAATAGCCACACTGCAATCCCTTCTCCTCCAGTCTCTTCTCTGGGTTTTGGGCACACATGCACATGCAAACAGTGTGATTTTCAGGCCACCAGGTCCAGGACTTGAACCATGGTTGGCCATTTTGGAATCCAGCACTTTAACCATCATGCCACCTGCTGGTCCCTAATATTTTTTATTATTTTATTTTACTTTACTTATTTTTTTTAATTTGACCAGAAAGGGATAGAGCGAGAGTGAGAGAGGGGGAAAGTGAGAAAGCAAGCCACCAGGTCTAAGACCCAAACCATGGTTGACCATGAAGCAGTCCAGTGACTTTAACCAACACACCACCTGCCTACCCTGGTCTCTAGTATTTTTAAGCAACATTAGCAACAAAGAAAATATGGGATATACATTTATAAAATCTGAAATTTGTAGTATCTAACTGTAAATTCAATAAAACTACAAAATGAGGATTGATAAGTGCCATGAATTTTTTCCTTCGATTCTGGTAGCAAACACAAATAACTCAGAGATGCAAACACATTTTTAAAAATAACTTTAATTCTACCATCTAACAATGTATTAGGTCACCGGGAAGGTCATGACCGGGAAGGTCATGATGTGTTTTTCTATGTTTTCACTATGCAAAAATGCGTCATGACTCTCCTGATGACTCAGTGTTTCTACCTACATAACAATCAGTCTTTTTTATTCTATTTCTTTCCAGTCCTCTGTGCTTTGTAAACAAATTAAGGCCCTTCTACAAAGCCTGATGTTCTACCTTGCAATGAACTCATTTCTAACGTCATTTAATGACTCTTATGAATCCATCATAATTATGTAAGACACCATGTTTATATTTGTTCAATTAACATTTCATTTACTGGAAATGATAAGGCTATTAAAAACCCTCCACACAAAGGTCTTTGTTCAGATGGCAGGCCGTTGCTTTCTAGATGATAAACTATTGGACAGAGGTAGGAATGTGAAGGCCCATGAGTTCAAGTTTTCATTCAACTATCAGACTGCTTTCCTGTGAGTTATCTTCTCATGGAGGCTGAGTCTCTTCTGTGTGTTAACCACGGCACCTGGTTCTCTGCGGGAAATGAGAGGAAAGAAAAGGCTCTGCCTCTAGGATCTGCCATTTGGGCCCTCACCCCCTTCTTTCCGTAGGGCGCTGTCCATGATCGGCCTGGCCTTGATTGCTCTCGGAACTGGGGGCATCAAGCCCTGTGTGTCTGCCTTCGGTGGGGATCAGTTTGAAGAGGGTCAGGTAAGAGCCCGTGCCTCCCCACACCCCCCCGCCCCAGCCCAAAGGGGAAAAAAAGAAAAAAGTAAACGACCTTAAGAACAGCCAGGAATAGAATGCCACCAACGTGGAGTCTAGTCTCCATTTTGTCTTTTCAAGTACAATTGACAGTGAGACGCTGAGGCCAGCAAGCGGCATGGTGGTTAAGGCGCTAGGCTCCTACGTGGCTGACTGCAGTCTGAGTCCTGGACCAGGCAGCTTGAAAAGTGTGCCGGGTGTGTATGTTTGTGTGCCCAAAATGCCAGGAATAGAGTGCGGCCATCCCCCGTGGGGGGTGATTTCTCACTTTCCCTTTCGCCATCTCACTCTCTCTCTCTCTAGCAAGCATACACACCCTATGGCAAAAACCTTTAAAAACGTTTAAAAATTACAAAATGAAAGAGAGATGCTGACCAGAACTAGTTGGAAGTGCGGCCAGATATTTTGCTACACCTGCTCAGTTGTTTCCGGGCCAGTCACTGGACTCTGCCTGTCACTTTCCATTACAGGAGAAGCAAAGAAACCGATTTTTTTCCATCTTTTATTTGTCCATTAATGCTGGGAGTTTTCTTTCTACAATCATCACTCCTATCCTCAGAGGTAAGAAATATCTGAAAGCGATATCTGGTTTTCTGCTTTCAGTTGTGAGGAAGTCGGATAAACAGTTCGGTCCTGTTGTTTGTTTTGCTTTATTCTACTCTCCCCTGGACTTCAGCTGTCAGACACAGGCTGGGATGTACATGGAAATGCAGACTAGAAGCTTCTTTTCTTCCGAGTTTTACTTCCCCTTCTCATCTGATTTGGCTCCCTTCATCCAATGACCATTGGAGAGACTAAAACCTGAGCATAGGCGTCGAGACTTCTAGATTATTATCATCAATGCAAAGGCCTTTGCGTGGTTAGAGATCAGAGTCAAGGAAGCCATGTAGGGGGAGGCCAGGTGGTGGTACAGCAGTGACACAACTGGACCCACAGAGGAAAGGTTCTGGGTTCACACCCCAGCACATCCCTGGACACACTGGGCACACACGCATGCCTGTGCTCTGGGCCAGCTGAGACAGGGGATGGCATGAACTCACCCTGTTGGGGGGGGGCTGTCTTCTTTCTTTTTCTGTCTATCAGAAGAAAGAAATAAACTTTATTAAGACAGAGAAAGGGGACCCCAGCCCCTGCGGAGCAGTCAGCAGTGTGCTGGACTACAATGCTGGACGCCACATGGCTGTCTGCAGGTTTGGATTCCTGGCCCAGTCATTCTGAAACATGCCAGGCACATACATGTGCCCGACATCCCAACAAACCGGAGGAAACCTCTTTCTTTACCTCCATGCCTCAGTTTCCTCTTTTGTGATAGAACCTACCTCAGAGAGGACTGCTGTGGGCTGACCCAGGTCGACCCGCCTGGCTAGTAGCTGGTGCTCGAGAAGTCTCAGCTCCTGACGTGTGCCGTGTCTCGGAGCTGGCACTGGCACGCACCCAGAATTCTCACCTGAGTGAATAGCGTACGATATTGGATCGGCCATGTTTTTGTTGACTTTTTTGAAATGCGTGCAGTGACAACATTAATCACAAGTTCTATTAAGAGGCAAACAAGAATAAAGAAGCACTGACACCCTGCCCAAGGTCCTGCTCTCTCTTTGTCCCTCTGTCCCTCTGTCTCTCTCTTTCGAGACTGCATTGTAATTCTCTCCCATAAATAAAATGCACTTTGAAAAGAGAGAGAGGTTGTTTGGAAACAACCACGGGGACGCTGCAGCTGACATTCTGGTCTCTGAGCTTTGCTCCTTGAGTGATACTCCAGAAAGAAAGGAAGAATTTAGCAGACAAGGTTTGTTTTGTTTTGTTTTTGCTTTCTCCTTCCTAAGCATCTCTCAAAGAACTGCCCAGAGAAAGGTAATGAGAGACAGCTTCGTCACTATGTGCAGTGCTCGGAAGCCTGTGCTAACGCTCCTCTGAGGCTTCGTGAATCTCACATGTGGACGGGACTAAGTGGCAGTACTGGAAACTAGAGGACAAGGCCATGGTCTGCACTCTTGAATCAGATGGATTATGAAATAGAACATGTTACGGGAATTTATGTATTTGGCATAGAACAGTAGTTGGAAGATGACAAACCCCTTTCCAACTCATTTTGTACAAAATGTGACAGCTTCCATGCTTGTGTGAGGTTCCCTCACTCCTCACCTTCAGACTCTTCTAGAGCATGTTGCAATGCGAGGCTCTGTTAAGGGAGAATTAGTTTGAATGAACTCAGGATCTCATAAAGCTACGAAGACTTCATGTAACTTAGGCATTAGTGAGGACACTGAAAAGCTCTAGTACTCGGTTCAAGTAAGGATGCGGCTAGCAGATTCATGGTCTTCACCACCATGAGCAGGACTTATGTGCACAGCTCTTAAACTTTTACATGGCTATCACTTTTCTAGCAGGTAACGTCTTCCTCTACCGAATTGTGAAATAGTCAAGAACCAAGTGGAAATCTCTAGAGGAGAAATCATTCCTGGAGGGTCCTGCATTCCAAGGAAAGGACTTCCAGGAATCCGAATTTCCCCTTTTAAAGTCTTACTTTTTTTCTTTCCAATCCTAGAATAACTCTGGGCCAAAGGTTGACAGCTATGGCCCAGGGGCAAAATCTGGAAATATTTCAACCTTGTCCATAGCTGCTTTCCCCGATAAAGGCAGATTAAGCCATTAGGCCAGAGACAGAATGGTCCACAAAGCATGCAATGTTCACTCTGGCCTGTCACAAACAGAAAGGTTTGTTAACCACTGCCCTAGCCACCTGGCTGCCACCTAGGTGGCACGGGTGCAAGCACATCCGATGTTGATTTTCCATGGCATTTTTGGTTTTACTCAGTCCCCTAGTATGGATAAAATTTATTTCCCCCACTGAGAAAATCCACAGAGGACTGGCCCCATAGCCTAATATTAAGGGAACTGAATCCCACATGACAAATTGCAGTTCAAAACCTGGCCCCCATGGCTTGAAAACCACACCAGGTGTGTGTGCGTGCATGCCCCAGATCCTGACAGGAGGAGAAATGGAGGAAAATTGAGGCATGACCACACCCTAGTGGGGAGTACGTGAAACTCTCTCTCTTTCTCTCATCTCTCTGTCTCTCCTGGCAAGCATATAGACCCTCTGACAATTAAAGAAAAATTAAATCAAAAAAAAAAAAAAAGGAAGACAAAATGAACGGGGGCCACTACTTTGGCCCAGGCAGAACGGCACATCCACTCCCACCTTCCGCTGCTCTGCTAAGCCAGCCGTGACCTCAGTTAGACGCATGGACCAATCCAAGTCCTGAAATGGAAATGCAACACGTGACAGCCAGGGAGGACCTTGGGAAAATGGGAACCGCAAGCACATTCGCGATGCCCTAATGCTTTTCAATCTCGTGATTTCTCCGCAGTTCAGCAATGTGGCATTCACAGTAAACAAGCCTGCTACCCACTGGCGTTCGGGGTTCCCGCTGCCCTCATGGCTGTGTCGCTGAGTAAGTGGAAATCGACGGATTCACGTGCGCTGACGATCAGAGCAGGTCCTACGCTCGTTGTCATGACTAAGTTTCACAAGTCCACAAAACACACCACACAGAGCGTAGTGCTAAGCATTGCCATCAATGCTGAGCGTGCTCAGAGCGTTCAGAGAAAGTGGTGTTGGCACAGGGTTGGTCTCAGAGCGAATGGGATCAACACAGGTTGGACATTTACAGGCTCGATACTATGAACATTTAGGCAGATTAAGATGGAGGTGAGAGAACCTGCTAGACGAGCTGAAAACGTTTGTTCTTATTTGCCATTTGCTTGAAGAAATGACAGGCTGGCTCAATAGCCATTGAGGTGGAGTCACATGCTGTGTCACCACGTTTTAGTCAACAACGAGCCACATGCATGTGACAGTGGTCTTCTAAATAGCATATAGGCTATGCCACGTGGCCTAGCAGTGTCATAGGCTAGACTGTCTAGTTCTTGTAAGTTCACACAGTGACAGAATTGCGTAATGACACACTTAGAATGTAAACCCATTGCAGGACCAGCAGGTGGAGTAATGGTTATGCCACTGGACTCCCACGTGGTCGACTGCAATTTAAGTCCTAGACCAGTTGGCTTAAAATTCACGCTGGGCACGTGTGTGCCCAAAATCCCAAGAGGAGAATGGAGGAGATGGGATTGCACCCCCAGGGGGTGATTTAGCGCTTTCTGTCTCTCTGTCTCTCCAATGAGCACATGCACCCTTATAGCAAACATCTCTCTCATAAACAAAACCAACAAACAAAAAACATATTCATGTTGTTAAGCGGCCCGAATGTGACTGAACCACAAATGAGTATCTCAATTTCCGTCATCTACCATCCCTCAAGTTTCACTGGAATGCCTCCCTCCAAATGCTTATATGGGGTGCGTTCGTTTGCACCTTAGTTCTTGGCATTGGCTTTTTAGGAGATGTGAGGAGCTTTCTGCACAAATAGTCTGACCTGAAAGATGGCAGTGCAAGAAGGACATGGCCCAGTGGCCCCCTCCGTCCTGGTCTCCTCCACTCCTCCTCAGCCTTGCCCACCTGGCAGCACCCCACTTTCTCCGACTTTTGTCTTCAGATTAGAATTGTATCAAATGGGCCCATTCTTAACCTCTTTGACACAAGTTGTAGTAATTTAATTCTAACCTTACATTTATGAGACAGCTCAGTATTTCCCCTCTTTTCCTCTTTTTTTTTTTTTAGCTTCTTTTTTGTTTGTTTTGCCATAGAGTGTGAGCACTTGCTGGAGAGAGACAGAAAAACAGAGAAAGGAAAAATGAGAAATAACCCCTCCCCCACCCAGTGGTGTTCAAGCTGCCAGGTATGGTTGGCCATGTAGGAATCCAACGCCTTAACCACCACGCCACCTGCTGGCCCCCTTTTGAATATGTCTCTTCTCTGACATTCTTCACATACTGCCGCGTTGCTCTAGAAGGCTCACTTAGACCTCCTCTTTAATTCTGAGATGGAGACAGAGTGCATTTCAAACACCTTTCTTCATATCAGACTGTAGTAAGCAATTTAGGAAAATTGTCGAGTTAGAATAAGTTAGTCTGTGGGGACCAGCAGGTGGTGTGGTGGTTAAGGCGCTGGACACTCCCACATGGCCAACCATGGTTCGAATCCCAGACCTGGTGGCTTGCTTTCTCACTTTCCCTCTCCCTATCTCCCTCTCTCTCTCTATCTCTCTCTCTCTGTATGTCTCTCTCTGGTCAAATTTTAAAAAGAAAAGAATGAATGCATAAAATTAAATAAAAAATAATTCTTTAATAAAAAGAATAAGTTAGTCTGTTGAAGTCACTCACTCTGATATCAAGGATCATGCTTTTTCTTTTTTTAGAGAGAGATTTTTGCTATAGGGAGTATGCACTCGCCAGAGAAACAGAGACAGAAAGAGAGAAATCAATGCCCCCAGGGGTGATGACCACATCACAATCTCTCCTCCTCCAGTCTCCTCTCTGGATTTTGGACATGTGTGCACACACACCTGGCATGAGTTTTAAGCTGCCTGATCTGGGACTTGAACCATGGTCAACCATATGGGAGTCCAGTGATATAACCATTATGCCATCTGCTGGTCCCTATGCTTTTTCTTACAGAGGAATTGAGAACAGGCCAAATCCTATGCATCAACACCACCTCTAGAAACATCTATGCTTGAATTAACCCTTAGGCCATCAGAAGCTTGAAGATTAAGATACTAGTTAGCAAAAGAAAATACAGGCTCAACCTCTTGGACATCTTTACTACCCATCTCCTCCTTGAGGGAGGCCAGTACTGGACAGGAAGAGGAGTAAGCATGTCTTCCATCTGTTCTGAAGGGCGTCTATAGTTCAGGCATGTACTGAGCAACACGCTTGGGAGTTAGCATCTGTCAGGATCTCAGACCCTCCTAACTGCGGAAATCCAGTAGAATTTAAACTATGACATGGTGTTTTAAATTATTGAATTGTAGTGTTAGATCCCCAGAAATCCTAGTATAGTGATTATGTTTTTTGAGTCTCTTGCAGAAATGTTTTTCTGCATTATTTTCAGTCTTTCTTTGCCTGAGGGGATCCGTGGAAGAACAGTCTGTTTGACAAGGCGCCTCTAACTTTTGTGAGGCTGTAGATGCCCGTGCAACTCCTGGAGGCTTCTTCTGTGCACTGGCCACAGAAAAAATTCCTGCCACGTGTAATGAAGTACAAGCTTCAACAAGTTATTTCCTTCTCTCTCAAACATTAAAAAGAAGAAGAAAGGGGTCAGTAGGTGGCATGGTGGTTAAGGACGCTAGACTTCCACATGGCCGATTGCAGTTTGAGTCCCAGACCTGGCAGCTTGCTTTCTCACACACACCCCTTCACTCCATCCCTCTCTGGTCAAGTTAAAATAAGTAAATAAAGTTAAATAAAACAGTTCTTTTAAAAAAAAAAAAAAGGAAGAGGAAGAAAGGGAAGAATTGTCTTGCCATGGGAGCTAGAAAATGACGGCAATGTTCGTTGTCTTTGTAGAATAATGCGTGGATCTGTAATGTGCAAGCACTTATTCCTTCTGCCTCCCTTTAAGTAGAGCTATCACTGGTGCTTGAGTAACTGTCCTGAGAGTCCAAGAGTGCCCCAAGTTCTAGGAAATAGCCTTAGGCTTCAACATTTGTATATCCATACACTAGTGTAATGTTCCTCAGAGGTTTCTGTGATTGTCAAAATCAAAAGCACTTTCAAAACTGTGTGGTCTAGGGAACCAGCAGTTAGCGTAATGGCTATGTCGCTGGACTCCCACGTAGTCGACCGCGGTTCACGTCCCGAACCCGGTGGCTTAAAACTCACGCCAGGCGCGTGTGCGTGCGTGCCCAAGATCCTGAGAGGAGAATGGAGGAGAAGGGATTGCGGCGTGACCATCCCCTCTGGGGGGTGATTTCTCGCTTTCTGTCTCTCAGTCTCTCTCTGTCTGTCTGGCGAGCGCACGCGCCCTATAGCGAAAACCTCTCAAAAAAAGAAAAAAAAAACTGTGTTATCTATAGGTAAACACATTCCATAAGTAACCCAGTCATTGCAGAAACAAAGCTATAACTCAAGGATGAGTTCATGTCTCTAGACCGCCAGTAGCTCTGGAAATGCCATGTTAACCCTCTCCTTCTGCCCTGTCTAGTTGTATTTGTCATCGGCAGTTCAATGTACAAGAAGTTCAAGCCCCAGGGGAACATCATGGGCAAAGTGGCCAAGTGCATTGGTGTAAGTATTTCAGCATTTCAGTAGCTCTCCCTTAATGACTTTTAATCTCTACTGACTTTAAATTAAAATTAATTTAAGTGTCGACTTTTCTCTAGACATATTTTTTAGTATTCTTAACTATTCTGACAATTGAAATTTCTTATAAAGCTCACCAAGTGGAAAATGACACAAAAGGAACTCAGAAAGAAGGGAATGAAATAGCTCTTGCGTTTATGAAGTAAAAATCAGTGGTCACAGCAGTTAGCGTAATGGCTATGTCACTAGACTCCCATGTAGTCAACTGTGGTTTGAGTCCCGGACCCAGTGGCTTAAACTCATGCCAGGTGCATGTGCGTGCGTGCCCAAGATCCCACATAGCCAACCATGGTTCGAGTCTTAGAACCAGAGGCTTGAAACTCACACCGGGTGCATGTGCATGCATGGCCAAAATCCTGAGAGGAGAATGGAGAAGAAGGGATTGCAGTGTGGCCATCTCCCCTGGGGGGTGATTTATTGCTTTCTGTCTATTTCTCCTCCATGCCTATGGCAAATCTCTCTCTAAAATAATAATAATAATAATAATAATGTGCAGACTTTGGGATCTTCCATATGCACCCACATGGGATATGTGCACACAGGTACATTTAGAGGCAGAAATAAATGTCAGCAGTAGGAATGTTTAGATAATGGAATCACACAATTTCCCCGTATGGACTCTCCAGTATTTTAGTGAACATATCTGTTGTATAACCAGAAGAAAAAGTGTCATTTATTTTAAAAATACTCGTGTGCATAATCTTTGGAATGAAAAGGCGACCTGAAGATAATGTTAGACCACTTCCTACCTGGTCTTATTGCATTAGCTTCTATGGGGTAGTTCATTTTGTGGAATAAATTCATCCTTTTCTGTTAAAAATAATTTCCTTCAAATACCGCTGTTTCTGTTCCTTAAACATTAGATCCGTTCCTACCAAAAAGTTTTTTCTAAGCAAAGTGGGGACCTTAACCAGTTACCTCTCCAAGTCCTTCCTTAACAGGTAATTGACAGCTTATTTTAAACTCCAAAAGAAAATCTTCAAGCTGTTTCGAGGCAGTAGAATCTTACTGCTCAGTGTCCTAAAAAGCAGCCCACAGCATTGCATCATCGTTTTGTAGTCACTCGAATGTCCCCAGACATGCCACCGTCACTTCCCCTCGTCACTTTCGTGAAAGCACTCTGTGTTTCCTAAAAGTCCCTCCGAAACGACAGTAACGAGGCCTCCCCGGAACCCCTGACTTCAGAATGGATCAGCCAACGTACTTTTCTGATCAGTTTAACCATAAGCTTTACTGTTTTTATAAATACATTTCTGTGTAGTGGATTTACTCTTTTACATTTAAAAACTGACACCAGTTTTTCCAGTTCAAATACTGGAAAGCTTCTAAGTGTGTATGAAACAATTTAGTATGCAAGTCTAGTAATTCAAACATGAACGTTATGAAAACTACATGCAGATGACATATTTCTGATAAAAATGTATATCCCTATGGAGATATGTAAAATCCTCCTTGAGTTTTGAAGACAGCATGAAAAAAGAATGTAAAAAGAATTTCCACTAATTTTTTAATATCTATGACATATTAAAGTCATATTTGGAGTTATTGGGCTATATTTTAAATGAATTACACCCGTTTTGCTTTTACCTGTTAACATGGGTACTAAACAGCTCAGATTGCAGAGCCAGCCCCATAGTATAGTGGTTAAGCTCCATGCATTGGGAACCAGATCCCACATGGTAGACTGTGGTTCAAGTCCTAGTCCTGGTGTCTTGAAAATGACACTGTATGTGTGTGCATGTCTCTTTTTCTAGCGAGTACACTTATCACCTGGCAATTAAAACCTTAAATGATTTGCAAGTGTGTCTCACATTATGTCTTATTATTTTTTCAATAAGACTGAGAGGTGTTTTATATTTTATTTTTATTTTTTAGGTTTTTGCCATAGGTCATGTGCACTTGCCAGAGAGAGACAGAAACAGTGAGAGGGAAAGTGAGAAAACAACCACGAGGGGAGGGCCATGCTGCAATCCCTTCTCCTCCATTCTCCTCCTGGGATTTTGTGCACACACGCCCAGTGTGATTGTCAATCCACCAGGTCCAGGACGCAAACCGTGGTCAGTCACGTGGGAGTCCAGCACCTTAACCACCTCACCTCCTGCTGGTCCTGAGACGTGTTATGGTCCTTCTGCCCCAGCCTCCCCATTAGGTAGGAACACAGGTGTGCACCACCGTGCCCAGCCTGAAACTGAACCACAGCTCCCTGGTGGCCTCAGCCGCTGAGTGGCAGTGTCCAGCCCGGACACCACGGCTAAGCCGTCCCATTATATTTTCACTAGATGTGCTTTTCTGAAGGTTCCAGAGAGAAAAGTGGTGACAATGGGACTCTGCACCAGCTCAAATGTTTTCAGCTAGAACGAGATTAGTAATAAAGCTGTCACTATGCCTTTCGACATGCTCATTAGACTGGTATATACAGTTTATATATGCACTTTAATTATTTTTAACTCATATACAGCCATTGTCCATATTTATGGGGTACAGTGTGATTTTTCAGGACTCAAATACTGTGTGGAAAGGTCCAATCAGGACAATTAGCATATTCTTCACCTCAAATAGTTACCATTACTTTGTGTTGAGAAGACTCAAAACCTTCTCTTTTAGCTATTCTGAAATATACAATAAATTATTGCTAACTAACAGTAGAACATATTCCTTTCATCCAGTGGTAATTTTGTACCTAGTAACCAGCACCTCCATCCCACTCTCTCCTCCCCTCCGGGTCTCTAGTAACTATTCTCCTGCTCGCTGGGAGTTTTCTTTGTGTGTCTGGTTCGTTTCACTTAACATAATGTCCTTCAGGTTCAATTTTATATTATACTTTCCCCGCAACTGTATTTTTCCATTAAAGGTGCTTTGATTGAAATGTGTTTCTCTGATAAAGCACTTGGCTCTGTTTTGAAATTTTATTTTTCTTCTTTCCTTCAGTTTGCCCTCACAAATAGATTCAGGCACCGGAGTTCCAAGTTCCCTAAGAGGGAGCACTGGCTGGACTGGGCTAGAGAGAAGTATGATGTGAGTAACCGTTGTTGCTGGAGGGGCCTCACCCCCTCTAGGAAGGCAGCGCCCCAATGGCGATCTGATTATGAAAGCTACAGGGACAAAATGGTCAGTGGCGGCCTCCTGCCCTTTGTTAGCGCGTTAAGAAAGGCTGTGTGAGAGTGCTTGGTTTCAAGATTGAGAACTCAATATACAATGGATATAATTGATCTTTCCATAGTGTTTCTTTCAGTCCACACTGCCATTACTGTTTGTCCTTGTCACCACGTAACTTCAGGGAGCATAGAAGAGTTCAGTGGGGAGGAGGTGATGGGATTTACACGTAGCAGTATTTGCACGAAGTAAATTCAACTACTTTACCTTCTAAACAGATTTTTTCACTCACATTTTAAGTAGCTTAGAAAGTTTGGGATTTCTGAAGAAATCTATGGTAGTGTTCTTTGAACAATTAATCACCTCCTAGCTTGTCTCTAAATGCAAATATCGCCACAGGGGGACTAAGCAGTGCTTGAGAGCTGAGTGACGAGTCCTGGCTGACTCTTCCCTTCCCCATTCCAACTGCAGGAGCGGCTTATCTCTCAAATTAAGATGGTTACAAGGGTGATGTTCCTGTATATCCCGCTCCCGATGTTCTGGGCCCTGTTTGATCAGCAGGTAACTTGAGACAGTTTCTTTGTGTGTTCCTTTAGCAAATGAGCTTCAGGCCATGTTCCAAGCTGTACTTAGTGTTCAGCTCCTAAAAACCCTCTTCCTGTTTCTTTTTTTTTTTTTTTTGTATTTCACTTACTAGTTAGATTCCATGGTTTGTTTGTTTGTTTGTTGCAAAAAAAATAATTCTAGATGGTTCCATTCACATTTTTGTTGTAAAACAATTAAGAAAATTGGGTGTGATCAAGTAGCTTAGTTAGGAAAGACTTCCTCCGGGCCTGTGGGAATCTCACCAATCAAACTGAGAATACAGCATTATGCAGAGGTGTTGCCTTGTATGGGATCCCTGGAATATTTCAGCTGAGAAGAGCTGATATCTTCTGCTCTAAAATGGAATGCTTGGGCAGGAGCCCACCCAGGGAAGTGTCAGCCCTTCCCGAGCAGGAACTGGAGTAGGTGGTTAGCTCATGGCCGTGTTTCCACACCACAGCTGTGAAACCTACGCCCAGCAACTTTCACAATGGTGTTAGGCAGCTCCAGGCAGGACGCTCAGGAGCCAAAGCAAATGAGAGTGTTTCTCTTATTGAGTCAGCAGAAGTTATAACGTATTTTTCTGTGCAAAAATGTGTCATGACTTTTCCAATGACCCAGTAAGACCAGAGGTGAAAAAAAAGTAGGCACGCATAAACCATCTCTTGGGAAAAAAAAACTGAGTACATTAATCTCTATTCGTAAGCTCGGGGTTTAGTCTAGTATCCGGAGGGCCAGGGAGGCAGTCACACATGCTGGCTAGGAGCTGGGTGGGTGTTGGAATTGGACTTCCAAGAGAAATACACCACCCTGGGCCAGCCCAGTGGTGCGGTGGTTCAGGCACCGCCTAGCCCATGGCTAACAATATTACGTTCTGTAACTCTGACGCCCATGAATATAGACCACCTCCGTGCTCACAGCTGCCTTCCCTCGCGGTGATGCCGTGCTTGCCTGCAAGCCTCAGAAATGCATTTTTGTATTTCCTGAAGATGGCTGCATCTCACAGCAGTGCTTTGCAGATCTTCAAGAGGGCTCGGAGTGCCAAGTACTGTGTTTGCTTCTATGACAGAAATGCAGTTACTGCCTCATGCCTAGTATTACAGTAGAGCTAGGAGACGAACTTGATGTTTAAAACTATTTTAAATCCTGTAACATTTCAGACCTCCTTCCTGATTTGGAAGAGAGTCAACATTGACTTGTAAAATGTAAAAGCCCACGTTCCCAAATGACGCAATAAACCTGTTCATTTTTAAGGGCTCCAGGTGGACTCTGCAAGCGACAGCCATGAATGGAGACATGGTAAGTTTGCGACATGTCACCTTTCCTGGTCACTACTCCCATTTCAGTCTCTCTGCCCCCTTTTTGTCTCCCTTTCATAACATTTGTTAATGAGAGTTTTTTCCTCCCTCTTTTTAGGGAGCCTTTGAGATTCAGCCAGATCAGATGCAGGTAGGCGGGAGTGTCCAGGCTGCTTTGGGAGAGCACAGACATTTCCAACACAGCCTTCACATTGACCTCCGTTTCTCTGCAGACTGCGAATGCCATCTTGATCATTGTCATGGTCCCCGTCGTAGATGCCGTGGTGTACCCTCTGATTGCCAAATGTGGCTTCAATTTCACGTAGGTGGCTGGTTGCTCTGGGTTGCTTGGAACTCCGCTGGTCCTGGGGCTTTGCAGACAAGCTGACTCCCCTCCACTGCCAGGGCCTCAGCGCAAAGGGCACCTTGGCTCCTCCCACAACACTGCTTCTGAGATAGGTCTTTTGAAGAAATGAACTAAACAGATATGGGTATGCTGATATTTCTGAAAATATCTTTTAAAGTGAGAGGCCTGTTGATAGCAGCCTGAAAAACATCTGTGATTAAGGTTCTCCCTGTGTACACAGGGTCTTCAAAAAAGCTCATGGTGAGTGCATGTCATGAAAAACTAAGCATGGATTTCATGGGTTTTACACCAAAATAAGCTCATACTTTAATTCCATTTTTCACAAACTGTTTGAAGTTCCCCTCATATGTCGCCGTTGATTTAGGTTTCTTTACATTTCTTTTACTAGTGTTTATTCGTTTTCTGCAAAAATGCAAATGAGAGCTGGGTTCCATTTATCCTCCCTAGTCTTGGCCGTGAATAGGAGGGAGGGGCACTTTGAAGCCCACAGGTCTCACAGGGAAGCTAGTTTGGTTTGAGGGGCTGGGGGACGCATCCCGGGAGGGCTGATCATAGCTCATCTGCGTGAGGCGGCTGAGGTTCCTTGCTTCCTGCCCCCATCAGCTCCTTGAAGAAGATGACAGTCGGGATGTTCCTGGCGTCCATGGCCTTCGTGGCGGCTGCTATCGTGCAGGTGGAAATCGATGTGAGTTGTCCTCTGATGCACCAAGGTCCTCTCCTGGGGGGTTGGTGGAATTTTCTTTCTCCAGGACTGGGAGGATCAGGGGAGGCCAGAGTCTTTCCCTCTAAACTGAAGCCTGGAGCTATGCAAGTGTGAGGCAAGGGGCAAAAATAGCCCTTTCACTCAGCAAACCTGCAGTTCTTATCACTGCAAGGGCGTGGCTGGGAATGTGGTGAGAGGAGGAAGGAGTCATGTAAATAGTAAATAGCTTCCATTCACGGACAGTGTTCAGTGTTCGAGATGGGAAGGGGGTCCATGGGGCTGCAGCTCTGGTTAGAAGTCTACCACTCATGAGCAAGCAGCCTCACTTTGAAAATACGTCAGTTTCTTTTTGATGGGAAAACAGATTTGAGATTCGAATGCTCCTAACACTGGTACCTTCTAAAGCTAACCGACACATCTGTGGGACCCTCAAGGGGCTGAACTAGACTCCTAATCCTGTGACTGTGAGATCAGGTCCCAGAAACAGGGCCTCAAAGTAGTGAGTAAAACAAGTGGTAAGAGGGTCTCTCTCCCTGCCTCCTCCTCTCTCTTAACTTCTTTAAAGTTTTTAATTTTTATTTTTTACAGAATTATTTGTTGTTATTTTTTAGAAATTATTTTACTTAACTTTATTTATTTATTTTAATTTGACCTGAGAAGGATAGAGTGAGAGGGAGAGGAAGAGTGAGAAAGCAAGCCAGAAATTTTGGATGATTCCAAAATTTCCAGGACTCAGACTGTGGTCAGCCACGTGGGAGTCCAGTGCCCTTAACCACAATGCCACCTGCTGGCCCCATTATTTTTTTAATTGACCAGAGAGAGAGAGAGAAAGGAAAAATGAGAAAGCAAGCCACCAGGTCCAGGCCTTGAACTGCAGTTGGCCATGTGGGAGTCCAGCACCTTAACCACCATGCCACCTGCTGGCACTAATTTTTATCTTTGATTGTGGTAAGGTATAAGTAAATACATAGCACTACGTGTCCAGTTCACTTGTGTTAAATACATTGACCTTGTCGAACAGCCCATGTCCAGAGCTCTTCATCATACAAAACCGAAACTCTATGCTCATTAAACTAACTGCCCCGACCTCCTCCCTACAGCCCCTGGTGACCAAATTCTCTTGGGTTGTTGGAAAAGACATGACACATTTTTGCATAGGAAAACATAGAAAAATACATCACGCTTTACCAATGACCCTATACTTTCTGTCCCTAGGATTCTGCCTTCTCTAGGCACCTCGTCTAAGTGGGATCATCCAAAATTTCTTTTTGTGGCTGGCTCGTTTCATAATGCGTAGTGTCCTTGAGGCTCACAAGCCTCACCTGTTGTAACACTGACAGGATTTCCTTCCCTTCTTTGTTAATTGGCAGAAGTCACATGCACTCACCAGAGAGAGAGAGAGAGAGAGGGAGAAAGCATATCCCAATGGTGTGAGGCCATGGTACAACCCCCTCTCCTCCATTTCTCCGTCCTGTTGGGATTTCGGGCATACACGCACATGTGCCCAACATATGTTTCTGTTTTCATTTTCTTTTTAAAATATGCTAGAGGGTATGTATATTCGCCAGACAGAGAAAGAGAAGGAGAGAGAGAGGGAAAATGAGAAAGCACCCCAAAAGAGATGGCCACGCTACAATCCCTTCTCCTCCATTCTTCTCTCAGGATTTTGGGCATACACAAACATGCACCAGGCATGATTTTCAAGCCTCTAAGACTGGGACTCAAACCACAGAGTCAACTCTGTGGGATCCAGCCGCCTTAACCACCATGCCATCAGCTGACACCCTCAGAATGTTTTTTAATTTTTTTGGTGGTCAAACATGTGGGATCTGGCTCCCTTAACCAGTAGACTGTAGAGCTACCCTGGATTTCCTTCTTTTTTAAAGCTGGAAAATATTCCATTGTAACTGTAGACCTCATTTCGTCCATCTGTCCATCCATCCGCAGACACCAGGCTGCTTCCGCCTTTTGGCTGTCGGGAACCGAGCAGCTGTGCCCAGGCGTGTGCTCGTGTCTCTTGAACACAGCTAACTTTGTGAAAAATCACCCTGGACTAAAGCAGACCTGGAGCACTTCAGAAGCACTGGGATTTAAGTCAGGGAGGGGTGGGAGAGAGACCAAAGGCTCCGAGCAAAGGCAAGGAGGCAGGAGAGGAGCCTGTGTGTGAGAGTGTTTAAAGCCCCAGGTTCAAAGCCTGAGCATGGGCTTCCTGAACTGCAGGGGGATGCTGGGGTCAGCAGATCCAGGTACCAGGACCTGGGTTCCTGTAGGCTCTGGTCACTCTGAACCCCCAGCTATCAGTTCATTTCTTGAATCTTCGTATCTGGAGGCAACTAGATAAGACCAACAATGGCCTCCTCCTGATTCCTTCCACCTTCTGTACAGAGAGCACTCCCACGGGCGGGCACCAGGAGGTGAGGGGTTGGCAGGTCGAGTGGGCGGGTGTGGGGAAGCGGTGGCATGTTTCAGTGGAGGGAAAGCCAGGGTGGGGCCAGGGTGAAAATCATCTCCAATGTCACATTGAAGACCTCTCTTCTCAATTCTATTTTATTTTTTCCCTTAGAAAACTCTTCCAGTCTTCCCCAAAGGAAACGAAGTCCAAATTAAAGTTTTGAATATAGGAAACAGTAATATGACTATATATTTTCCTGAGAAGACGGAGACTATTGGCCAGATGTCTCAAGTAAGTAGAAGACGAAGCCCTTTCTTCTGTGTTCTGGCCTGTGTTATAGTAGGATTTGGAGACACTGGTTTTCTGGGTCCTCGTAGAATCTCGAGATCAGCCCAGATGAAAATGACTATTTTTCTTTATCAGATTGTGGTTTTACAGGGCCAGTCAGTGGCGCTGGCTAAGGCACTGGACTCCCAGATGGCCAACTGTGGTTTGAGTCCTAGACGTAGTGGCTTGAAAACCATGCCAGGTGTGTGTGCCTGTGTCCTCGGAATCTCAAGAGGAGACTGGAGAAGCGACTGCAGTGTGGCCATCCCCACTGGAGGGCGATTTCTCACTCTCTCTTTTTCTCTCCAGCAAGCACACACAACCTATGGTCAAAACCTTCAAAACAAAGCAAAACAAAACAAAACAAAAAAACAGATTTTTGCTTTCACTCCAGACCAGTGGACCTCAAATTTTTGTTTGTTTTTGTTTGTTTGTTTGTTTTGAGAGGTTTTTGCTATAGGGCATGTGCACTCGCCAGAAAGACAGAGAGAGACAGAAAGTGAGAAATCACCCCCCAAGGGGGATGGCCACACCGCAGTCCCTTCTCCTCCGTTCTCCTCTTGGGATCTTGGGCATGCACACACACACGCTCGGCGTGAGTTTAAGCCACCAGGTCCGGGATTCGAACTGCGGTGTACTACATGGGAGTCCAGTGACATAGCCTTTACACTAACTGCTGGTCCCGCAAATGGTAAGATATATCCAGATCACCTGGAAGCGTGTGCAGTGCAGGCTCTTAGTACATACAGCCACACTGTAAACAGAAAGGCGAGTTGCTTTAACAAGGACTGACTTTGTCCCCGGGGCCTTTGGCACTCTCTGGAGATGTTCCTCTTGTTGAGACGGGGAGAGTGCTGCTGGCTCTGTTACGTAAAGCCAGGGGTGCCGAGAGCCAGCCTGAGCCGAGGCTAAACTACCCCGACGTCAGCTGTGCCCAGGTCAGCAATCCCTAATCCAGATGCTCATGGTTCTGGATCAGGGTTCTCAATCTTGAGTCCGGACTGGAATCACCTGGAAAAACGTTTTGATATGCATGAATGTGAACTTGAAATATCAAATACTAGCCATTCTAATATTCAGTTTCTCAGTGCAGATCAAGACTGTGGCATTGGGACCAGCAGATGGCATAATGGTTACATTGCTGGACTCCCACATAATTGACCACAGTTCAAGTCCCAGACCTGGCAGCTTAAAACTCACACTGGGCATGTGTGTGTGCACACCCAAAATCCTGAGAGGAAAATGAAGGAGAAGGGATTACAGTGTGACCATCCCCCTGGGGGGGGGGTGATGTCTTACTATCTGTCTCCCTGTCTCTCTCTGTCTCTCCAGCAAGCGCATGTGCCCTTAGCAAAAATCTCTCTCTCGTTAAAAAAAGAAAAAAAAAAAAAACTGTGCAATTAATGATGATCCCTTTTCTCCCATCTACAGACAGACGGATTTTTGACTTTCCAAGCAAACAAACTGGGAAGCATAAGCATCTCTTCTACTGGCTCTTCAAACGCTACAGTAGTTCATGACTTCGAGCAGGGCCAACGCCACACCCTTCTCGTGTGGGCCCCCAATCAGTACCGAGTGGTGAGTAGCCGTGCACCTCCAGCCACCTCTGCTGTCTGTGGTAGGGAGTGACTTCGTTTTACCCCTGGGTCGCACAGTCGATAATACCCAATTCCGTTCTTCTGCAGTAACATGAGGCATTCGATTTCCAATAAATGTTTGACTGGTGAATGGGAAGGGTTAATATTAATATTAAAATTTTGAAAAGAACTGAGTGTGTGTATGCGTGTGTGTGTCGGAGCATGCATGCATGTGCATACACAAGTCATATGAAGTACATATGTGCATCTCTAGGAACGTTTTAGATAAAGTTTTAAATACACCTTTAATTGCATTAATTTCAAAACTTTGCACTGAGTAATTGGAAAATGAGGGTAGTCTCTGAAAAACTAGTGAGCCTATCAAGTAAAAGCCATAAAGTACAGTACATATAAAATACTGATGATACAAACATACATGTCTAGTTAGGACAGCACAGAAGAAGTGACGAGGGTGGAGTTAAACTAAACACAGACGTTCCAGGCATCCGGAACGTGAAACGAACTGGGCATCTGCAAGACCGGAAAATGAGACCGGGAGTCTGGCCATTTGATGAATTAGGGCACGATCAAATGGTTTCTCCTAAAGCCTTGGGAAGCCGTATTCTATGGAAGCAGTGGCAGACAAGAATCAAAAATCCTAGCGTCTCAGGACAAGCAGATGGTGTAATGGTTATGTTGCTGGACTCCCATGTAGTGGACTGCAGTTCAAGTCCCAGACCCAGACATTTAAAACTCACGCTAGGTGCATGTGCATATGTGCCCAAGATCCTGAAAGGAGAATGGAGAAGAAGGGATTGCGGCATGGCCATCCCCCCAGGGGGTAATTTCTCGCTTTCTGTTTCTCTGTCTCTCGGGCAAGTACACACACCCTATAGCAAAAAAAAAAGAAAGAAAGAAAAAGAAAAAAGTCCTAGAATCTCACTTGAGCCTTCAGGAATACAAGGGCTGCAGAAATGGAACCGTCAAGTGTAGTCATTATGCCTGAGCTCCTAGGATAAGTATCGGCATTACTCTTCTTCTCAAAGACCCAAATGTTTATCTGAATTTATTCTAATGAATTAAATTTTGAAAATATTTTTATACCACTGTTTTGGTTTTTTTTTTCCCTCTCTCTCAGGTAAATGATGGCCTTAACCAGAAGCCAGAAAAAGGAGAAAATGGAATCAGGTATATAGTCCTTTAAAACTTAAGTTACAACACCTTCCAATGGAAGTAACACATACCCATAGTAAAGTTCAGTTATAACAGGGATGAGAATGTGAGGTTTATCCCAAGAATGTAAGGCTGGTCCAATGTAATTTTCATTTAAAAAAAAAATCAGTATACTCCATCATATTAATAAACTAAGAGGAAAATTCACATCACATCTAATTAATGCAGAAAAAAATGGATAAAATTTCAAATCCATTTGGGGTCAACAGATGGCACAGTGGTTACATCGCTGTACTCCCACATGGCCGACCGTGGTTTGAGCCCCAGATCCAGTGACTTGAAATTCACACTGGGCGCATGTGCATGCATGCCTAAGATCCTGGGAGGAAAATGGAGGAGAAGGGGCTGTGGTGTGGCCACCCCCCCAAGGGGTGATTTCTTACTTTCCCTCTCACTGTCTCTGTCTCTGTCTCTCTCTCTAGCAAGCACACGTGCCGTATGGCAAAAACCTCTTTCAAAAAGATTTCACATTCACTTATAATAAAAATGCACAGCAATCTAGGAATAGAAAAAGAAGTTTCTTACTCCAAAAAGGGACATCTAAAAAAATCTCAGATGGACATTACACTTCATGATGAGAGTCTAAATGCTCTCTCCTAAGATCTAGAACAAGGTAAGGTTGCTCACTCTCCCCATTCCTATTCAACACCCTTCTCGATGCCTGAATAATAAGACAATAAAAAGGAATAAAAACACTTATATTGGGACCAGCAGGTGGCATAATGGTTACGTTGCTGGACTCCCACGTAGTTGACTGGGTTCAAGTCCCGGACCCGATGGCTTAAACTCATGCCAGGCACATGAGCATGCATGCCCAAGATCCCAAGAGGAGAATGGAGGAGAAGGACATGGCCACCCCCCCGGCAGGGGTGATTTCTCGCTTTCTGTCTCTCTGTCTCTCTCTGTCTTTCTGGTGAGCGCATGTACCCTATAGCAAAAACCTCTCCAAAAAGAAAAAAATCTATATTGGAAAGGAAGAAAAAATAAAACTCCTTACTCATGGATAGCAATCATTTACACAGAATGTCTCCCCCAACTCCCATAGAATCAAAAAGTGAGTTTAGAAAGGTTACAGGATACAAGCATGACAACCAAAACATCTATCATGTTTTTATGTACTAGGAATGAACAATTGGAAACCGAAATTGAAAACCTTATTCTTCACAATATCTCCCCTAAGACATAAAATAGTTATAACTGGAACAAAACATGTAGGATTTGAGTGCTGAGATGAAAGAAATTAGTGGAGAACTAGAGACAAGGAGAGACATACTGTGTTCATTGATTAGAAGATTTAATATAGTAAAGACATCAGTTTTTCCCAAATTAATTGATAGGTTTAGTAAAATTTCTATCTAAAGCAAAGAATTATCTTTGTAGATATGAACAAGCTGATTCTGGAATTTATATGGAAAGGCGAGTGAACTAGAATAACCAACATAATTTTGAGAAAGATTAAAGATAGAAGGTTCATATTACTACCATTTTTAAGACGTACTGTAAAACTTCAGTAATCGAGACAAAGTTGTATCGGCAAAAGAAGAGACCCATAGATCAATGGAATTGTACAGAAGTAAACCCACGCGAGTATAGCCAACTGATTTTTGCCAAAGTAACAAAGACAAGTCAATGGGTTAAACCATAGATAGTGCTGAGACATTTTAACACTCTTATACAAATGTCGTATACAAAAATTATATTAAAATGTCTACACATCTTATGTGAAAATTAACTTGAAATTGATTGCAGATCTACATGTACAATGTTAAACTATACAGTTCATATAGAAATATTTTTAAACTTTGTAATGTTGAGTTCTTAGATACCAAAAGCACAATTCATGGAAGAAAAAGTTGATAAATTAGACAACTGAGGTATTTGTTCTGTCTCACTCAGAAGAAAATGAAAAAATAAGCTACAAAATAGGAGAAAATATTTACGAATCACATATCTTACAAAGAAGTTGTATCCAGAATATATAAAATAGTCTCAAAATTAAATAATAAAGAAATAACCCAATTTTAAAATAAAGGGAAAGATTTTGGCAAACATGTCACCAGAGAAGATATACCAATATATACAAGTGGCAAATAAGCATGTGAAAAGATGCCCAGTACCATTAACCGTTAGGGAAATTAAATTAAAACCACAATAAATGACTAAAACACATCTATTAGAGGGATATAACAATTTTCTTAAATCGACAATACCAAGTATTGACAAGAATGAAGATAGAGCAACTGGAACTCCTGTGCAATGCCAGTGGGAATGCAATATGGTAGAGCCCCTCTGCACGACAGTTGGACAGCTTCTTACAAAGTTAAACACACTTACCAAAAGACCTAGCCATACTACTCCTAGATATTTGCCCTAGAGAAAAGAAAATTTATGTCCACATTAAAAAACCTGTACACAAATATTTGTAGAAGCTCTGTTCATAGTTATCAATCATTGGAAATCACCCAAATGTCCTTGAATAGATGATGGATAAACAGACTATAGTATGTCCATACAATGGAATACTGCCAGCAAAAAAGGGAGCAAACTTGTTACCCATGGCAATGTGAATGAATTTCAAAAGCATTATGTTGAGAAAGAAACGAGTCTGAAAAGTTAGAGTATAATTCCATGGACGTGCACTTCTGGGAAAGCAAAAATGCTAAAGACCCAGAAGAGATTGGCGATTGCCAGGTTAGGAGTGGCTGTGGGGCAGCGTGACTTGGGAGCAATGTATTCTGACTACGATGATGTTTATGAATCTACCTGTGTTCCAGTTCACAGTATGCTCCCCAAAGCCATTTACTTTAAACTTTGTAAAATAAAAATCATCTCCTAGCCTTTGATCATGGGGCTCCTTGTGATGCCTAAGCTAACTTAAATCACCCATAGGACCTTCTGGCTGTGCTGATCTGAACTAGGAGAGCACGACCGATCTCAACTCTATCCTCTTACCCTCAGAACCCCGGGAGTGTGTTGCTGTGGACCGCCCCACAGGATCAAGGAAACCCAGCGTTTGGCTGGCAGAGCCAGTTCCTGGCATTAAAGCAGAACCAGATGAGAACAATGCCCTGTTATTTCCATGTGGTCATTGCTGCCCCCCAGGGCTCCCCCTTTGAGAAAGGGACTCTTAAATTTGAACTATTCCTTCCAGAAGAATACCCAATGGCAGCCCCTAAAGTACATTTCATGACCAAAATTTATCATCCTAATGCAGACAAGTTGGGAAGAATATGTTTACATATTTTGAAAAATAAGTGGTCCCAGCACTGCAGATCCACACAGTTCTACTCTCAGTCCAGGCCTGGGGAAGTGCTCCCGGTCCAGATGGTCCATTAGCAAACGATGTAGCGGAGCTAAGACCCGCGAAGCCCAAGCCATGGGCACAGCTGGCTGGAGCGTGGGCTAGGCCGTGTGCCATGAGTGATATTTAAATTGATGTGACCCTCACATGTGCATCGCTGCTTCTTTTTTTGTTTGCATTTACCAACACACAGTCTTAGAAACATGACTGGATAAAAGCCAGGGCATCTTCAGGCCCCTGGTGACTATGCACAGTAGCAAACCTATGTCTTGTCCTGATTCACTGATGTCAAGTGTGAACAGAGGCTCGAAGTATCATCTGGATTGTTGCGAAATGCTTAAAAGCAGTGGCCCCTTGCTGTTTTTATTCATTTCTCCCATTATGGTTTTAAGTCTAAAGCAATGCTAATGAATGTCATTTTGAGGGTTAGCTGCAGAGATGTGGGTTCCTTTATTTTATTTTTTTGAGGGGGGAGCTGAGTTTATTTCAATTTTATGGGCTCCTTTCCTATTTTTATGGTGATCTAATCGCATTGGTTAAAAGCAACTAACCATTCTTTAGAACATACTCTCTAGCCAAGTCTAACTTTATGTAGACGCGGTAGATGGACAAGTTTGATTGTTTGAACCAAAATGAGAACATTAAACAAACATCACAGCCCTCACTAATAACTGTGCTGTCAAGTGTAGACTCTTTCGAAAGAAACTTGTGACCATTTTGTATGGCTTGTTGGGGAACTTCTGTAAATCTTATGTTTTAGCAAATTATTTTTTGTAATAAAAAAAAAGAGAGTTACGGGTTCTTCGATAGCCTAGAACATCCAGAAAAGGGTCTCCAATCATCGCCCGTACCGTTCAGCATCAGAGTGCTCTTGTGTAGGTAAATGACTCACCTGGTTCCATGTGACACTTAGGCATGGGGGACTTAGCCGACTGAAAGCCACAGCGCCTAGGGCCCAATCTTACTGGAATTCCCAGTCCTAACTGCACTCCTTCTGGGTGCCGGTCCCTGGCACCCCAGGACCACATGAGTCTCTGCCATCTGAGAATTCCTTAAAGCTGTCCCTTACCACTGGATGGGCTCACTCCTTCCTCTCCATTCTGGGGCCTTCCCCTACCTCGGGCTTTCTAAGAGGTTAAGATGGATGGTCCTCCCTTCTCTTTCTCAAAGGAACGCTGGTTGGGGACTATCGTTCGGTCCTGGGCAACATCTGTTCTTGGACCTTCATCCCGGTAGCTCTAAAGCTTCTGAAGCAAGGAGCAAGATGCCCTGGCTGCCTAGGGATATAATGTGAAATAGCTATTATGCTGAGAAGTTGAAGGAGAGATCTAATGAAATAAGTCATGAATCGGTATTGAAAGAATAGGGACCAGCAGGTAATATGGTGGTTAAGGCAACCAAAAGACCTAGCCATACTACTCCTAGATATTTGCCCTAGAGAAAAGAAAATTTATGTCCACATTAAAAAACCTGTACACAAATATTTGTAGAAGCTCTGTTCATAGTTATCAATCATTGGAAATCACCCAAATGTCCTTGAATAGATGATGGATAAACAGACTATAGTATGTCCATACAATGGAATACTGCCAGCAAAAAAGGGAGCAAACTTGTTACCCATGGCAATGTGAATGAATTTCAAAAGCATTATGTTGAGAAAGAAACGAGTCTGAAAAGTTAGAGTATAATTCCATGGACGTGCACTTCTGGGAAAGCAAAAATGCTAAAGACCCAGAAGAGATTGGCGATTGCCAGGTTAGGAGTGGCTGGGGGGCAGCGCAGCGTGACTTGGGAGCAATGTATTCTGACTACGATGATGTTTATGAATCTACCTGTGTTCCAGTTCACAGTATGCTCCCCAAAGCCATTTACTTTAAACTTTGTAAAATAAAAATCATCTCCTAGCCTTTGATCATGGGGCTCCTTGTGATGCCTAAGCTAACTTAAATCACCCATAGGACCTTCTGGCTGTGCTGATCTGAACTAGGAGAGCACGACCGATCTCAACTCTATCCTCTTACCCTCAGAACCCCGGGAGTGTGTTGCTGTGGACCGCCCCACAGGATCAAGGAAACCCAGCGTTTGGCTGGCAGAGCCAGTTCCTGGCATTAAAGCAGAACCAGATGAGAACAATGCCCTGTTATTTCCATGTGGTCATTGCTGCCCCCCAGGGCTCCCCCTTTGAGAAAGGGACTCTTAAATTTGAACTATTCCTTCCAGAAGAATACCCAATGGCAGCCCCTAAAGTACATTTCATGACCAAAATTTATCATCCTAATGCAGACAAGTTGGGAAGAATATGTTTACATATTTTGAAAAATAAGTGGTCCCAGCACTGCAGATCCACACAGTTCTACTCTCAGTCCAGGCCTGGGGAAGTGCTCCCGGTCCAGATGGTCCATTAGCAAACGATGTAGCGGAGCTAAGACCCGCGAAGCCCAAGCCATGGGCACAGCTGGCTGGAGCGTGGGCTAGGCCGTGTGCCATGAGTGATATTTAAATTGATGTGACCCTCACATGTGCATCGCTGCTTCTTTTTTTGTTTGCATTTACCAACACACAGTCTTAGAAACATGACTGGATAAAAGCCAGGGCATCTTCAGGCCCCTGGTGACTATGCACAGTAGCAAACCTATGTCTTGTCCTGATTCACTGATGTCAAGTGTGAACAGAGGCTCGAAGTATCATCTGGATTGTTGCGAAATGCTTAAAAGCAGTGGCCCCTTGCTGTTTTTATTCATTTCTCCCATTATGGTTTTAAGTCTAAAGCAATGCTAATGAATGTCATTTTGAGGGTTAGCTGCAGAGATGTGGGTTCCTTTATTTTATTTTTTTGAGGGGGGAGCTGAGTTTATTTCAATTTTATGGGCTCCTTTCCTATTTTTATGGTGATCTAATCGCATTGGTTAAAAGCAACTAACCATTCTTTAGAACATACTCTCTAGCCAAGTCTAACTTTATGTAGACGCGGTAGATGGACAAGTTTGATTGTTTGAACCAAAATGAGAACATTAAACAAACATCACAGCCCTCACTAATAACTGTGCTGTCAAGTGTAGACTCTTTCGAAAGAAACTTGTGACCATTTTGTATGGCTTGTTGGGGAACTTCTGTAAATCTTATGTTTTAGCAAATTATTTTTTGTAATAAAAAAAAAGAGAGTTACGGGTTCTTCGATAGCCTAGAACATCCAGAAAAGGGTCTCCAATCATCGCCCGTACCGTTCAGCATCAGAGTGCTCTTGTGTAGGTAAATGACTCACCTGGTTCCATGTGACACTTAGGCATGGGGGACTTAGCCGACTGAAAGCCACAGCGCCTAGGGCCCAATCTTACTGGAATTCCCAGTCCTAACTGCACTCCTTCTGGGTGCCGGTCCCTGGCACCCCAGGACCACATGAGTCTCTGCCATCTGAGAATTCCTTAAAGCTGTCCCTTACCACTGGATGGGCTCACTCCTTCCTCTCCATTCTGGGGCCTTCCCCTACCTCGGGCTTTCTAAGAGGTTAAGATGGATGGTCCTCCCTTCTCTTTCTCAAAGGAACGCTGGTTGGGGACTATCGTTCGGTCCTGGGCAACATCTGTTCTTGGACCTTCATCCCGGTAGCTCTAAAGCTTCTGAAGCAAGGAGCAAGATGCCCTGGCTGCCTTCTTGAAGGGGAGGGACCAGGGCCTGCTTCAGTCCCTCCTTGATATCCGAAAGTGTCACCAAACGAGGGCTGTTTACAAGGTACTGTGAGCAGCACCCTGTGTGTGCAAACACTGGGTTAAGTACACTCTTTAAAAAAACGTTCTCATGAGTGGGTGAGCAAGGGCAGACCTGGAATTCTCTAGAAGTCTTCCTCTAGAAGGGAGCACAGCCCAATTTCAGGCTATGAGCTACAATAAATGATTACAGAGTTTGCCTTTAAAAAAAATATATTTATTTATTTACTTTTATTCATTAGTATTATTTTTCAGTTTGACCAGAGAGAGAGAGGGAATGGAAGAAAGCAAGCCGCCAGGTCCGGGACTCAAATTATAGTCAGCCATGTGGGAGTCCAGCGACCTTAACTGCCCTGCCACCTGCTGGCCCTCCAGAGTTCACTTATAAGACAGGTGGTTTTTTCTTTCAGATTTGTAAATGCTTTTAATGATGTCATCAGCCTCACATCATCGGGGAAGGTTTATGAAAATGTCACCAGAAACAATGCCAGTGAATATCAGTTTTTCTCATCAGGCAAGTAAGTACTTCTACTGGACACTTTGTTCCAGAGTTCAAGGATTTCACATCTTTTTCTTAAAAAAAAAAAAAAAAATGCATTGAATGGGGCCAGCAGGTGGTATAGTGCGTAAGGCACTGGACTCTCACATGGCCAACTGCAGTTCAGGTCCTGCACCTGATGGCTTGAAACTCACGCTAAGCACATGTGCTCGTGTGCCCAAAATCCCAAGAGGAGGGTGGAGGAGAGGGGATTGTGGCATGGCCATCCCCCCGGGGATGTGATTTCTCACTTTCTATCTCTCTGTCTCTCTCTGTCTCTCTGGTGAGTACATGTACCTTATAGCAAAAATCTCTCCCAAAAAAATGCATCAGAGCTTTCATGCCAATAATGACATAACCTCATATTATTTTTTCTTTTAATAGAAAAAATTTCACATTCAGCGCAGCAGATATTTCACAGCACTGTAAACTTAGTTTCGAGACTACGAAACTGGAGTATGGGAGTGCTTACACCTATGTGATCCAGAGGACGGTGAGTAACTCAGTTCGTGTCGGACGTCACGCTCAAGCATCCCTGTGATCCTCACAGATGCTTCGGACATAGCGATGATTTAATTAAAGTCATAGTAGGATCTGTCTTTTAAACAGGCTTAAAATCCATTCAATTCCTAGCTATTTCTTTGAATTATGTGTTAGAACAAAACGGGGCTGGCTCCATGGCCTAGTGGTTAAGGTTGTCAGATCTCACGTGGCCATTTGCACGGTTCAGATCCCAGACCCAGCAGCCTGAACAATGCCCCCGGAGCAAGCACGTGCATGCCCCAAATCCTAACAGGATGGAGGAATGAAGGAGAGATTGCAGCGTGACTAGTCTCCACTGGGGGAAGGGGTGGGGGGGGGGCTGCTTTCTTTCTCTTTTTCTTTTTTTTTTTAATTTGCTGGAAGGCATGTGCACGCACCAGAGAGGGACAGAGAAAATGAGGGGAAGTGCAAAGACATTGGCCCAGGAGGTACCTTCTTCCTCCCCCTCTCTCTCTGTCTCTGGTGAGCACACGTGCCTTCCTTCTGGCAAAAAAGAAAGAAAGAAAGAAATTGAATGGACTGACTTACCCTAACTGAAAAGCCAGGTTGACTAGTACCTGATGTTTTCTTATCGGTTATTAAGATGAACTTTAGGAACTTACAGTTCAAAGTGATAGCAATGTTTTAAACAAACCTGGCTTCCAACCTACACCCTTATTTAAGGGGAAAACAGTAGGTGAACACATTTTCAAGTCCTCTCAAGTCCATCCCATCACAGAATATAGCAACGTTGGATATTGACATTTAAAATGTGTCCTTACTGATAATTGTATGATATGATCCTAGAAAGTCAAACTCAGTTTGCCTGTTTGAACGACTGTTATTCTAGAAGCTATCTCGATTTTAATTTCTTCTTTCTGCTTTTGCTTTACTGATTTAGAACGACTGCCCTGAATTTAAGGAATTCGAAGATATTTCACCTAACACAGTGAACATGGCCCTGCAAATCCCACAGTATTTCCTCCTCACCTGCGGCGAGGTGGTCTTCTCCATCACAGGGCTGGAGTTCTCATACTCTCAGGTTTCTTGTTCATTGTTTCTACCACTCTTCCTCCATACCCAGGTCTTCAGAAAATGCTGCTGAGACTTAATTTAAATCCAGGGGGTAATGAGAGAGCAAGCAGGTGGTGTGGTGGTTGAGGTGTTGGATTCCCACATGGCGGACCATGGTTTGAGTCCCAGGTCCGGCAACTTGAAAATCATTCTGGGCACACGTGCATACATGTCCACAATCCCAAGAGGAGACTAGAGAAGGGGCTGCAGTGTGGTCATCCTCCTTGGGGGGTGATTTCTCACTTTCCATCTCTCTCCAGTGATCACATTCCCCCATGAGAAAAACAAACAAACAAAAAACTGGGATAGCTGTATGCCTGCAGTGTTTACACAAAGCAGTATAGTAACTGCCATGGCACAAGATCCCTGCGGTCCCCAAGTTTGTCGTTACTAAATAAGAATAGCTCTCCGTACAGTTTTGTGGGTGTGTATGTCCATGAGTCTGTATTCCCAGACTTCAGTTTTTACAGACTAAAGCTTTAGAGTTCTAAGTAGGGAAATATAAATACTGCTTCCAGGGTTATGACAGCCCATAGAGTCTGCATTCTGAAACAACCGAATGGTACAGACTCTTCATAAAGACACTTCTTGGCAGTTCTGCGTCATCATTATCTTCACGGTTCAGTCGAGGTCTCTTTGAGGCTCACCAAGTAAGGCCTCACTTTAAAAACAAGTTAGCGTGTTTTATTGCTTGTAGGTATGCTAGAAATTGAGGCAATTTTGGCAGCCAAATTAGAGCTTCCCTTCTGAACTATTTGGTCAAAACTATAGTTACAGTCATTAGATCCCACAATGCCTGGTACTTCCACTTTTGTAGTGAAGATAATAAGTATGAGTTGAGTGACCCCCTTCTGTGATCACCTCACAGCCTAATAAAGGAGATGACTATAAGACAGGTGACAGGAGTTTGACGAGACATTTGGTAGCATGGCAGGGAGCCACAGAAGAGCCAGCTTGCAGCCCCAAGAGCAGCTTCCATTTGATGGGCAGAACATTCTAGGCAGGGCAGTTCTGTTCAAAAACTATTCTGCAGAAGTAGAATCAGTGTGTCCATCTAATTAAGAGGACAACTTTGCAAGAATGTAGAGTGAGACTCAAGCGATTCTCATATGCTGGTACAATGTGAGTGTCAGGGCACCCCATCACCCAAGTGGTGGTCCTGTCTGCATGTAAGCCAGCCTCATTTTGGATGTACAATGGTGGGGTAGACTGTTAATGACGTGAGTCAGGGAACTGCATTTGCTGTTCCGAGGTGGAGATCCGAGTCACGATTCACTTGGCTTTGCTTCCTCAGGCTCCCTCCAACATGAAATCGGTGCTCCAGGCCGGATGGCTGTTGACCGTGGCCTTTGGCAACATCATCGTGCTTATTGTGGCAGGGGCAGCCCGGTTCAATGAGCAGGTACGGGTGGAGGAAGAGATTGTACGTACTTCTGTCTCACCTACGAATGGTCATCCCAACGGCGACCCTCCCTAGTCGTCCATGGACACGTGGCCATTAGGCTCCT